ATGACGGCAGGTATGAGGCGCTGACATGGCAGCGATGACGACAACGAAGATGACGTGGCGGCGCTGGAGGACGATGTTGATGACGTGGCAGTGCTGGAACAGGGAGGGAGGGAGGGTCGTTTGTCGCTCTGATACCAATGTGATGGGGCTGAGGCAGAGCAGCGAGGCTGGGAGAGAGAGGGAGAGTGGGAGTACACACACACGCTCACTCAACTCGACACAGACTCGACACGACTCGACGGATGCAGACACAAAGTGGCAAAGTCGCAATTTTGGGTTCTGAACACAATCCCGTAGCAAGTTATACTGAAACACAAGCACTGAGGCCGAAAACTGAATGCCCGAACTCAGCTTGAGTCCCGTCTGAAGTACCGGACTCAAGTTGAGTCCCGAGGGCAGAAGTGCAATTTGCCTCGGGGCTGAACTGAAAATCGAAGGTCTGAGCCTGGGCGCCAGAATGCCAGATGGCGCCAAGTATCGGAATCCGAAAGTGCCAGAGGAGGGATTTGAGAACGGGCGCCAACTGCAGAGGGCACCAACAGTCAGGAACTGGAGATCAGAGACTCAGAAAATAAAATAGCAGCCTGGCGGGTGGTAACCCGCAGACCAGGGATCGAGCCCTGGCTGAGTCCGTAACATGGGTGGTTGGCCGGAGGATGACGCGGCTGGACCTGCTGCTGCTGCCGCATGGATCTGCTGCTCCAGCTGCGCATCGGCGGACTGAAGTTGCTGATTTGTCGCGCACTGATACCAAGCAGTGTCCTTGAGAGTGTCAACGTCCATCTCCAATGCTGTGACGCAGTCGGGAATGTTGGAGGGGCCAATGGCCGTTGCTGCAACTGGCCGCTGCTCCAGAGTGTGCACGCAGGCGGTCAAATACTGCACGATCTGGTCCAGTGTGAGGATATCCTCTTGCTGGACCATGCAGGTGGCTACCACGTCAACAATCTGCTTGATGACCGTGGAAAACTTGCGCACGGTCGAGGCACCCTCCTCCTTGGCTGCCATATCCCATTCGGTGGCCAAGGTCACGACTTTGGCCTCCTCCTCAAGTAATGCATCCTGTCGCGCCTGTCTTGCTTCATCTGCAGCCCTGCGTGTTGCGTCTGCTTCCTGCTGCTGCTGTAGTTCAGCAAGGCGACATTTCCTGCTGCCTCTTTCTCCCTCTGTTCATGGGCGGCTAACGCCGCATCTGCTCTATTCTTAATCTCCGTCATCATGTCAGCCAGCCGCGCCTCGTAATTGGCCTCGGACTCATTGTCCTTGCGTTCCATGTCCTTGGTCACAGTCTGGTGGACCAGACGCATATGTGGCAGGTGCTGACGTGTCACTGCTGCCCTGTCGCTGCTAACGTGTGCTGACGTATCACCGTGCTGATGTGGCAACTCACCAGTGCCCGCAGCGGAGGAAGAAAGGAAGATGAGAGATGGGAAAAGAAGAGAAGGAAGGCACAGCATACACAAATGGGGTGGGTGGGAGGGGAGAAACAAACACACAATCAAAGTGATAGCATTTCCCCAACCCACATGGGGTCACATTGCTCGCCCGGCTAGGGAGGGTAATACAAGTCGACTGCACTCAAGCAGCACACAGCACACTGACACATACACGATGGATACGTCCAAGCTGTACATCACATTAGAATCAACGAATTGTCAACTCCTAGGGTTAAACCCGGTGGTCAACTGCATGAAGGCTCAAGTGACGTAGCGACTAACAGACCGTGAGTCTGCGTCGCCGGAGCAACTAGCGGGCCACATAGCGGATTCGTAGTCGCATGAAAGTCCAGACGGACAGAAGGACCGAAACACTCACAAAAGTACATCTTATTGTCTGTCCACTCGAATCGAAAGCCCCCAACCGTGTCCCTTTTCGGCGGCAGACATACTACAAACAGACCAAAAAGCAAGCAATTCTACTAGCTGGGACGCAAAACTCAAAAGCCGATTGGCGGGAACCAAAGTTCACAATCACAACCAGGCGGTTCCCGATTACAGTACCCCAGCTACTGCAAGCTGCGCCGACAACGAAAATCAGGCCGCCGGACCACCGCCAGCTCAATGGCATGGGTTCGAACCAGGAATCTCCTAGCCTACTTGAAACTCCTACAGAGCGCTCATAGACTAAACTCAGGCAAGCAAGGGTCGTCCCTGGCCCACACATAGGGACGGCTAGGGAGGAGTTGAAAAAAAAGAAATCGAACTTTGCTGATTTTTAATTTTTTTTTGAAGAATACTAATTTGGTAATTTTTGAAATAGCAAGCTCGAAGGTTCCCCCAATATCCCCAACCCCCAAAGCCAAAGAAATAAAAAGTTCAGACTTCGGACTGCAGGTAAGTGAGGGAAAAAAAAAAACCCGAAAGAATCGAAATGCAATCAGAAAAAAATATATTGCAAGTTTGAAATTTTCAGAGACGAGAAGAAAAACGGCACGTGTCCTTTGGGACATCCGTTAAAATCGGAACGATACAGAGAAGGGTAATTAGCATGGCCCCTGCACAAGGATGACACGTATAAATCGAGAAATGGTCCAAATGACAAATGTAAAAAAAAAAAAAAAAAAAAAAAAAAAAAAAAAAAAAAAAAAAAAAAAAAAAAAAAAAAAAAAAAAAAAAAAAAAAAAAACAACGGCGCAATTCGAAATTATCGAGGTATCCTTAATATTAAAACGAGTTTGCGCTTGAAAAGGAGAGAATTTCCAATTTCCAAAAAAGTAAAAAAAATCGAAATTTACAGTCAGTCAGAGTCTCAAGCAAAAAAATTCAATCAATCAATCAATCAGCCAATCAATCAACCAATCAATCTCCCCTAATTCACCCGTCAGGTCAGATTAGTCCAGATTCACTTGCGAGGCTGCATACTCGGTGTAATCCGAGTGATGCAATGAAGCCAAAGGATCAGCAAAGTGATGATGAGGACTCGAATGGACAATGCAGCTTCAGTGAAGCATCAACAAGCAATGCACATCCATATACATACAAAAATAGCACAATGTAGTGCAGTGGAAGACTCAAAGATATGACCTGACCTGTCGGACACTGGCCCGACTCCGCCCATCACACACCACACATGTCAGAGAAGGGAGGGACCGCATACATGGAAGAAATGTGCCCATTTGACCATGCACATGGGAAGAAATCAATCAATCAATCAATCAATCAATCAATCAATCAACCAATCAATCTCCCCTAATTCACGTGTCAGGTCAGATTAGTCCAGATTCACTTGCGAGGCTGCATACTCGGAGTAATCCGAGTGATGCAATGAAACCAAAGGATCAGCAAAGTGATGATGAGGACTCCAATGGACAATGCAGCATCAGTGAAGCATCAAAGATATGACCTGACATGTCGTACACTGACCCGACTCCGCCCATCACACACCACACATGTCAGAGAAGGGAGGGACCGCATACATGGAAGAAAGGTGCTTTATCTTGGCCCATACTGCAATTATAACTCGTTTTTGTGACTCTACTGAAGTTACCCCTAACATCTATCTTTAATAGATGTCCCATTTTTCCACAATATTGTGGGGACGTTCCTAGGTCCGCAGACATTTGTTGTACCAGTCCCACCGCACATGGGAAGAAATCACGGATGATGGGATGGAGGAAGAGTGAGATGAAGATGGAGAAGAGGGAGAAAACCAAGATTGCGATAGTGTAGTCCAAAAATAGTCTTCCTGTCAAATGTCCAATCAATGTCTGCCCCTGTGACGTCAAAACAGGTCGTGGGCCCCGTAGCCCGACATAACCTCTGCCTGAAACCAGCTATGGCGCCCAGGTAAGCTGTCCGCGCCTTGCAGGTGTGGCCACCACCTTTCCCTCACCTCTCCTAGCTCCTACACCTCTGCGTCTACCTCTAATGCTAACGCAGCTCTGAATGCCGCGCGCTGCCCCAGCAGCGTGTCGCCCAAGGAATGAGAACTCCTGTGTGTCCAGGAACTGGACTGGCCCAGCTAGATATAGCACTAGACCTGGCTGCAATGCCGACAATCTGCAATCTGGGTCGTCGGATCTGAAGTTCGATTGGTGGCCCAGATTGCAGGCCTAAGTCCTGCTCCTGGTCCTGGGCCAAAACGGCCTGCCTGGGTCCCTACCGGACGTCCAGGCTCACCTGCTGATTCAGCAGGAGAAGTCCACTACTGGACGATTCAAAACCTGGCCTAGAAACGGCCCAGTCACGAACCTGGCCTCTCCGAGGCCACAAACGTGGTCCTGGTCCGAACAGGCACTGGTCTGTTCGGACACACTGCAAATCCCGAAACGACGCCCTGAAACCGACAAAATTAGAACAGACAAAGAGTCAGCAAAATAACTAAGTAAATCAGTTCTGACTGAAAAAAGTAACGTGCATGGCCCACCAAGATGGCTGTGGGCCTCCAGGTCGTGCACGGAAATAGGTGTGCGGCCTGGGGGCCCTCAACAACCGTTGGGCCCCCGAAATGGGCCCCGTGTGCAGGGCTCAGCATGCAACACTGTCATATTGCCTTGATTTTTTGATTTTTTTCTCTTGATTTCTTTTTTTGTGTGATATGTATGCGCTTTAGGGTATATCATGTATATTTATTCAGTTTGGAGAAACTTCGGCCATATTTGGACAGTCAACGAAAAAAGTTGGCGAAAACACCGAATTCTTTGAGAGCTTTTGAAAATTTTGAATTCGGAAAGCATTTTTGTGTTAGGGTCTTTTAGTGTTTTTGAGTTTTTTTTTTTTTTTTTTTTTTTTTGAATTATGAGTCTGCATTGTTTGTTTCCAAAATTTTCCACCACGTTGCTTGGCGCCCCAAAACACTGAATTTTCGGCCTTCAAATTAACCATCTCTCGAATCCAGATTTTGTGCCGTATTTCTTTCTTATTCAGTCAGTTATGTTCTACCGATAGGAAACTTTCCATATGACGAGTGTCATTTTTTTTTCTTGTCTAGTCAATAATTTTCCTGCTCCATTTCTTATCAGTGGCTGACAGCTCCTTTCTTCACTGACATCGACTGCTCAGCCGCTTTGCAGGTGAGGCTGTGCGCTTCTACGAGATTGTGAGGGAGAGAAAAAAGTTTTCACCAAGCAGCACGGTCGAGAAAGTGTATCTGGCAACATACATTATTGACAAGTTTATCCAATCAGGTGCCAGTAAATTCACTAGCTACCTCTTCCCTCTGGTCCCTCCCCCCAAGCCCGAAGGCTCTCTATACGCATAAGTAGACACATGACGAGGAGGTGGACGATGACAGATACATGAAAGAAGTCCGAAACAGTTCAGTTACTGCGCCAGTTGTAACAATCGACAGCCGCAATGCAGACAGACTGCCTGCACAAGGTCCAGAGTATCAACACCCCCATCCAACACATGCATGAGCCCCGCTACCGTCTTCACCCCGAATAGAACGACTGGTCATTGTTGCTAACTCTGGACCACAACTTGACCCAAATACGGCTAAAAATGACGGGGGTTCTGTTCGGGTGAAGACGGTAGTCTGTGAGGGTATTTAGATTGTGGATGGTGGAGGGTGAGGTTGGGAAAGAAAAGGATGGGTGGGGAGCAAAGGTGAGAGACGATACTTTCCAATCCCCCTTGCAAATATGGATAAACCATTACGAAAAAAAATTGAGGCTGTTGCGGAGAACCGTCAAACTGTTCCAAGCTGCCTCATTTCAGTGACTGAGAGAGGCTCAACCAAATTGACCCGGCG